ATATCGATCCTCTGTTTCTCGATCTTTCGGTATATGAAGTGGCACTTTTAACTTGTCGCCGATCTAGCGTATGCATATTCCCTGCCTTGCTACCAACACCAAAATTAACCTGTTTAATATCGTGAAGTTTACTAGATCCACTGTATACTTGTTGAATACACTCGACTACTGCGCGTATAGTGACATGCTGCCGCAATTGTAGTTTATATAAAGATAACAAGCGAATCATATGTGCGGCATGTGGAAGAACGCCGTTAATCTCGCTACGTCTAACGATCTTATGAACCATATGAAAAGTCTCTTCTCCCAATGTCATTGCTGCTCGACGAATTCGGCGATAAGCTTTATGGGCATCCACGCACGTTTGAGTCAAACTATCGCTATCGACAACATCGCTACGTGGTACAGATGCAGCAACCAGAAGCAAGATTCGAAATTGTTCTGGTTGTGAGCGCATTTGCTGCATCAATCGAGCTACATGATGCTCCAATAGGTGCTGCCAAGGAGCTTTTGTGATAACAGCTGTTTTAAGCGCCAACTCCTTGCCTTTTCCCTCGTGCAGAATCTTCGTGACTTTTTCTCGGATAGAGACGGGTAATTCCGTCGGAAGTAAAGCATAATCAAATTTACGTTGATCTTGGACGTCGGTGGTTACCCGCGTTCCAACTTCATCCAGTGCATGTTGAAGATCTAAGCATGTGTGCTTGCGCCATGTTTCAGTCACGGAGTTGTCGAAGAGATGTGCCTCCATGGGTAGACTTTATATTTATAAAATTCAAGTACGACTACTTAACTATACGATGTGGTTCACATCAAGTTGTATCTACATACGGTATGCACAACAACAGTCTTGTCTTCATGACATCTCCGCCGCATGTGCGTTGCAAGAAAGACTATGCTTTGACACAAACACCGCCAAATTCTCCGCGAATTGCAACTCGAGTGAGTACATTGACGCTATACTCTGTTATCGGTATATATGCGGCAGGAATTTTGGTATGGGGCATGAATATAAGTGGCGCGTTTGTGTCCTCGTCTTCAAATTCTCTCAATGTGGTTTATATGAGAGGGCGACAGAAAGCAGCAAAAGGAGACAATGATGCTAGAACTATGTCGGATAAAAGATACTTGTTAGACGACGAAAACAGACCGCCAAACTTACTCTGCATTGGCTGGAAAGAGACCGACAGTTGTGACTCGAACCCAACTGATAAACGGATAAAGAATCGAGGATGTGACCAGTTTGTAAATGGTGGAAGCAGTGGCTACTGTCTTATGGAAGACGAGGATACAGGTCAGCAACTTCAGGTAATGCACACAGCTTGTGACTCCCTTCATCCTAGCGTCGTGTTAAGTTGTCGCCTTGCCGGCGACTTTGTGAACTTTAAGTGGGGGATAGCCAAGCTCGCAGCAATCATTGAACAAGAAAAAATAACTCATCGTGAGAAAAGCATTCTGCCACGTACGAATCCAAGTAAAGGTATTGTCATGGTTATCTATCCAAAGCTGCTGATAAGCGCGTACGCTTCAATCCGTACTTTGCGAGCTTTAAATTGTACACTGCCAGTGGAATTGTGGTATATTGAGTCTGAAATGAACATTGATGACGGAACTTCATTGCTTGATGATGTCCCTAAGAAATTACAAGAAATGTATGGTCCAGTGACATTGCATCAAATTACCGACGGGAGAGTAAAAGGCTTCAAGTCAAAAGTGTGGGCCATTACTCATACTGCACTTGAGCTTGTATTGTTCCTGGATGCAGATAACGTTCCTGTCCGAGATCCAAGCTATTTGTTCGAACAACCTGAACTCGGGCAATCCGGCGCTGTGTTTTGGCCAGATTATTGGCATCCAGCGCACACGATTTTCAACATTAACGAGAATTCGTTGCTATGGGAGCTTTTGGACATGCCATTCTTGGATATGTTTGAACAAGAGAGTGGTCAATTAGTGATTGATAAAACAAAGAGCTCGGCAGCCCTTCAGATGCTGACGTATTTGGCCTTCCACGATCCCGACCTTTTCTCTCAATACAAGTTAGTACATGGTGACAAAGATCTCTTTCGTCTTGCGTGGCTTAAGACCAAGACTCCATTTCATATGATTGCTTATCCACCGGGGCTTGCTGGCACAGTGCGGAACTCAAAATTCTGTGGTATGTCAATGGTTCAATACGGGACAAACGGAGAAATATTGTTCTTGCACCGCAACGGTAAGAAGTTAACAGGTGGTCTTACAGCTAAGCACACGCCCGACGAGTTAGTCTGGACACATCTGCAGCGCTTTCGATACCGTGTTTCTTCATCTCCTGCTCGTAAAATTGCGGCTTTTACCTATTCAAAAGTTCCATCGGACGACAAAAGCATCTTCGCACGAGAATGGAATAATTCACGCGAACCTTCGGGCATTGTAGATTTGCCGTACGATTTACTGCGTCTGAATTACTCGGTACAGATTTTCAATGGAGCACCAGAGTTTGCGAAGACCCAGTGGTGTTATGGCCAATCGATGATCACAGCGCCCGATTTTACTATCACTTCATGGAACAAATCAATGATTCCGATTATGGAAGAAACATTGTTGCAGTATGCAAATGAAGCAGTGATACTGCTAACGAACGTAGCGAAGGAGAAAATTGTGCAATCCGACCGACAAGAAGTACATTAAACACCATTTTACAACGTCAAATACATGGCTATTTATTGAGTTTGTGTGGAAAACAATAGATGCAAGATTGTGTAAACTAAAAGTGAACAAAAGATAACATTTTGGTCAAAAGTGATATTAATATTGCTAAGTAACATATGATTATAAATCTGGACTGAACGTAAGAAATTATCCGGATCTGTGCAACGGTCGACGCGCTTGACGGATTCGATTTTTCACGTCTGTTTTTCGTTGGTCAAGCGAGCGTTCACTCCCTTTAAACTATCATTCTGTTTCTTAAGAGAATGTCCGTTGAGCACATGAGCTGCTAGCATTAGGATATGTGATTTATGGTTTTACTGCTGTTGGAAGAATGGCGGGATATTAAATATATAGACTTCCTCTTACAGCAAATAGGTTTAAAATGACTGTATGGGTTGCATAAAATTACTCTTTGAAAAATATACCACAAATAAACTAATTAGCCCAGATGGGTCAAGCAGACAACTTTCATTGTCGAAATGATGAGGGATGGGCTGCACCCGCGCTCGACAACATCGAATGGGGCAAAGACAAATAACATTAAAGAGCTTTCACCCTATGAAGAAGCACTACCAACTGATCATGCCGTTCCATCGTCTACCGGTAAGCGGTGGTGGCCTCACGCGTTTATAATAGGCGGTGCTATCTACGTCATAGCAATGGGATTCTGGTTTTCGCATTATTTTAACGCCTTGGAAAAAGATTCCGACTCTGTATACCTTGAGCGAATTAAACGGAACCGAGATGACAATACTATGAAGGTATCACCATATCATGGACACTTGACGCAGGAGCAGCAGAAGAAAACGAATTTGGCAAAGGCCGAAGTCACTTCGACTTTAATTCAGGCAGCAATTGACAATCCCATGGAAGCATCACAGGTAAAAGAAGCGCTACGATTGGCGCGAGAAGCAGTTGTAGCAAAGTTAGAGATGGACAGCATTGTGAGCTCTCGACCCTTGGCGACACAATCAGAGACTTTGAATAAAGCCGAGTTCTTAGCGCAAGACGCGCTTTTATTACCAAATGGCGAAACAAATGCACGAAATTTAACGTGTTTGGGCTGGCGAGCGACGGATGGATGTAGTCCATATGGACCCCGCAAACCTGAGGATGATCTTGCCTGCACTACGGTAATACCATTCGACCAATCAGGATATTGCGAGGTACAAGACAAAGAAAGTGGTGAGCGGTTTCGAGTCATGCTGCATTATTGTAACAGTCTGAAGTCAGATTTGAGTTTTCGCTGCGTATATGCTGCCAAATTTGCCAGCTTTCGTCACGAAATTCGCGAAAGAGCAAATCGTGCTCTCACCCCGGGATTTACACTACCAAATCTGCAAGATAGCGCAATGAGCACAAAACAGCGCAATGGCATCGTTATGGTTATATACCCAAAGATGATACCAAGTGCGTACGCCACAATAAAAACTCTGCGGGAGGTGCAAGGATGTCAGTTGCCTATTGAATTATGGTATCGCAGTTTTGAAATGGATCTAGATTCTGATATGATGAAGCCTCTGACAGCTTTGGCAGAAAAAAAGGAACTGTCAAGGATAACCTTTCACGAAATCACAAACGTGCACGCCGCGGGTTTTGACTCAAAAGTGTGTGCAATCTACAACAGCCACTTTGAACGTATATTGTTCCTAGATGCTGACAACGTTCCTTCACGAAACCCGACGTTTTTATTTAGCTCAACCGAGTTTTTAGAGACTGGAGCTATATTTTGGCCAGACTTTTGGCACCCTCAAAATTCCATCTTCAATGTTCATAGCCACTCCGTCCTTTGGGAGCTTCTTGACATGCCTTTCATCAATATGTTTGAGCAGGAGAGCGGCCAAATTCTGATTGACCGCCGACGGCATGCACAAGCTCTCGATCTCGTCATGTTCTTTACATTTCACGAATCCAATCATTTCGAGAGCATGCAACTTGTTCATGGCGATAAGGATCTCTTCCGTTTAGCGTGGCTTAAGCTTGATGCCCCGTTTCACATGATCAAGTCACCACCTGCCATTGCAGGTAAAATAATAAACGGCATTTTCTGTGGCATGACCATGGTTCAACACGATGCCCAGGGCGACGTCTTATTCCTGCATCGTAATTCGCGTAAACTCATGGGTGAACCCCTCCGAAAAACTGTTGACTACAAAACTCGAGCAATTGCTCGTTCAGCAAGATTGAGTAAAATTCGATCGAATCTTCGACTGGAAGGCAAGCCGATTCCATCGTGGAATGAACTTTTTGCGATGCTAAGCTCAGAAGAGACTCCATCTCCAACCTTAGAAGCTCCAGAGCCAGACGGATATCCTGATTCCGTTGTCTGGACACATTTACTGACATTTAATAATACGTCTAATCTAGAAGATTACATTGTTCAAGTTTATAATGCAAGTCCAGAATTCGATGAATCCCAAACCTGTTACGGCGAGCGCGACGTAAGTAAAAGTGAACATTTCTACGTGCAAAACATTGCAAGTTTACCATTCGCTGGACTTGAGACGCACATTCGTCGCTTTGCTGCTGAGGCAGTTGAGCTCAATGAGACGTAATACTTAGCATTTTTTTTTAACAATTTTTGTTAACAGATAGATATGGAAATGTATTACAGTGGGATACACAATTTTAATATTCAGAATATCTTCTTTAGAGTAGAAAAAAATTAGCTCGGAAATGGTAGTTGCTAAACTTAGATGCTTGGACTTTTTCAATGTGCTCAAGTCCAAACTTTTGTTTGTGATTGGAGCGATACTCTTAGTGACGACCATTTACGTCAACTTTTCTTTAGTGACTAATGTGTCTGATCGTCTAAGTCATCGCTTGCGGCCCGATCGTTCACATCTTGATTGGAGTCTTTACAGGGAAACGTCTGCTAATGACTCAATGACAACAAGTCATCCAAAATCAATCTTCTACAGGCGTGGAGAGAACTTTGATTACACAGTCAGTCGCGAACGTTCGCTTGTAGTGTGTCTTCACGACAAGATGCTGCACATGGGACTGTCGCTTATTCGAGAATTACGGTGTCTTGGAAATCAAGAACTTATTCAAGCTTATCATTGTGGGAGAAACGAGCTATCGAATCAATCGGTTGAAATTTTATTTGGCCTGGACAACCGCGTGGAACTTGTTGATGTGTGCTCCGATCTTTTGTCTCGTGGTATTTTTTCAGAAGGAATGTCTCGAATGTTTCAAAATTGGTGGATCAAACCACTAGCATTGTACCATACAGACGTTCGTCACGTCATGCTCTTAGATGTAGATGATATTATTTTACGAAATCCAGATGTTGTTCGCAGTCTTGATGGATATTTGCGAACAGGTACTACGTTCTTCTACGACCGCGTCAGATACGGCAAGCGCTTTTTGACAGGCACTGACAACGATGAAATGTACTTGCACAGACTATTACGCCAGTTTAACTATTCCAGATTCAACATTTCTGAGGGCTTCGCTCCATCTCAACATATGATTAACAGTTTTGCTTTTAGAGGTTTGACAACATTTGAGATGGATTCATCAATGGTGTTAGTTGACAAGAAACGGGTCGGAAAGACAGTTATGGACATTATATTCTGGTTTATAACGGAAGAGCGCTTTCGATTTAGGTATTCGTGGGGTGACAAGGAGACATTCTGGTTAGCGTTTGAGTTGGCACATGTACCATACTCTTTTTCACCATGGGGTGTTAGCGTGGTGAATTCAATGCCTAATGAAGATTTGGAGAACCACCCTGATTCACTCTGCGGTACAAGCATCTTGCAATTCATGCCAGTCCACAATTCGAAGGCCGAAACTGCAGAAGTTTTGTATGTGAATGGCAAGGCATTGCTTGATCCATATCCTCAAGGCTTTAACGTGAAGAAAGCTCATCAAAACGCTTTGTTTAATCCAGTCGTCACACACATGACGCCTCGTCAACAACGAAGGCAAATTGACAAATCGATCTACCCAGTACAAAAATTTCGCATGGAATGTCTTGTTGGAATGGGAGCTACACGCTTACCAGAACATTTTGCTCGGCATCTATTGCGCCGCCGAATTCACTTTACTGGCCTTACTATGGGTGTGCTTGGTGCGTTGCAGCATTGTGAAATGTTCGTATAGAATTTTTTTTACAAGGAGTATCTATATGTGTGAGAGTTTCACAGAATTACTGTTCTATTAATCGTAGGATTATGAAAAAGTAGAGTTTTTATTGAAAACCTTCATTTTCCTATGAAACCTTAAGTAATTTGGAAAAAAAATATCAATCAGATGTGTCAATCAAAGTTTTTGTTAGCGTTGTGGTATTCTTCAAACGTTTACGCCGCCTTATACTCCCAGCTTAACGGAGTAGCCGAGCACATGAAGCAAACTTTGGTTGAATGTGCACGTTGTATGCTTGAACACACCACCTATTGGGGAGAAGCTGTCATGACTGTCGACTATCTTTGTAATCGGTGTCCGACATGAAGTATATCGCTGGACCAATCACCCTATCAAGTGTGGACTGGAAGAAAGCCCGTTTTGGCGAACCTTAAAGTGTTTGGTTGTCATGCTTCTGTCACGATGCCAAAGGAAAAACGAAGCAAGTTGGATGCACGAGCAAGACGTTGTCGATTTGTTGGTTATTCAGAACATGATAAGGCATATCGTTTTGAAGCGATCGTGTGATGATAAGCTGCGACGCGAGATGTCTTATTAATATTTTTGATTGTGAAAGTCACGACTGTTTTCATTGACTAGAGGGCATTGAGATTCACAATTGGATGACGATGACCAGGGTATGCCAGATGAACGCAGTAGCGATTTTGCCGCGAAAAGGCACGAGCGTACGCAGTCTTTGGAAGGTGTGATGATATTTCCAAACGCCAAACGTTTTGTCCAGCGAAGCGGGCTTAAAGGCCTTGTCAGGTCCGGCAACAAAAGATATCAGCGAACGCAGTCGCACGAAAAAGAGGTCAAAGCCCCAGAATACAAGCGACACAATCAGTTTAGCGGACATCAAGGTCTTGATGAAACGTCAGCCGCAGAACAAGATGTCGACGCCGCCTTTATCATGGATTCAGTGAGAGAAATACCGACAACGTTTAAGTCGGCTATGGAATCCAGCGAAGCAGTTGAGTGACATGAGGCATGCAACTCAGAAATAAAGTCACTCCATAGGAGCAAGACCTAAAAGCTAGACCACTACCGCATGGACGAAAAGCAATCGGCAACAGATGTTTTTTTCGCGTGAAAGAGAATGAAAACGGTGAGATCGAGCGTTACAAGGCGCGTTTGGCGGCCAAGGGTTTTTCACAAAAGTACGTCATCGACTACAAAAAGCCTTTTGCACCTGTGGCGAAGTTGACGTCGATTAGAGTCTTGCTTAGTTTGAGCGCAAAGTACAGCCTGACGATGCATCAAATGGACGTCGAGACTGATTTTCTAAATGGAGTGCTTGAAAAAGATATTTTTATGGTTCGACCTGATGGATATATCTATGAAGCTCGACCTGACTACGTGTGCAATTTAAGCTGACTACGCATGCAAGCTTAAAAGGTCGCTCTATGGATTGAAGCAATCGCCTCGCATGTGGAACAAGACTATCGACGATTTCATGCAGCTTATTGAATTCACGAAGTGCGAATCAGACCACTGTGTCTGCATCAAAAGTACCGGACAAGAAATAATTTTTGTTGCGCTTTACGTTGACGACCTTATCATTGCAAGCAGCAATGTCAGGATGCTTCAAAACACCAAACAAGGGCTCAGAAATCGCTTTGAGATAACCGACATTGGTCAATCTAGAAAAGAAAAGAAAATAAGCTCACACCACAAAATCGCCAGACTAGTTTATTGATGTGAATTAGGGTTAAGGATTGATGACGTGTGCTTCAATGTGAAGGGACAGCGCGACGTACAAAATCGAATGCGGCCATTAGTGCGCGCCAATTGATGTGGATCGGTATCAGAATTGAGATGTATTTCGTGCAAACCTATACGACTACAAGCAGGATTTTAACAACTAAGCCGTCTGCGGACGTCTTCATTCATTCGCGAATGGAAGGTTGGGATACAAGTAAAAGTACGAGCGATGCGATACAACAGGGATAAACCCACGAGCTAAAGTGATGAGAATGAGGTGTATATCAAACTCCAGAGCACTTTGGGAGCTGCTGTCTCAGAATAGTGTGTACTCACGGCTGAAAGTAAGCAGTTCGTGAAAAGACCTACTTCGAAAAGTATGCAGGATACAAGGCAAACAAACATAATGGCTGAGTCACGTGGAGCGACGCACGGTTGTTGTGCGTCTTGCACAGAGAGATTTTTGGCCTAAGTGTCTGCGTCAAGAAACGCATAGAGAACGCTCTACAGCCGTCTCTAAGTGTATCTGCTCGATTTGGAAAATGATGTCCTACTATCTAGGGTGTGTAATCCTGATTAATAGCCTCCACAATTCAAAAACTTCTTAATTTGAGGTACCATTACTTTGCTAACAGAATAAAAACTGTATGTTATTCCTTGACACTGCACAGCGATATGTCTCGGCTTTGCTATATGTTTGAGCGACAGTATACCTACACTACAACCTGAGTACATACCCATCACACCCCTAACAAGGTCGGAATCACAAATCACTTTGTTGTAAATATTGTCCACGAATTGCAATCAATCCACTTCAGCGTGATGTTCATGAACACCAACCATACCAGGGTTCATTCCGTACCAGCTTTGCATTAAGAGCTCAGACAGAAGGTGATAGCTTTGACTGCACATCTAAAGTTGATATCGTATGATTCAACCTGAAGCAAAATCGATAACCTCTAATATAACTCGTTGTCTAGCTAGCTCTGATATTGAGGGATACTTGCATTCATAAGGGGTGCTTTTAAAACTTACACGACATATATCCTTTTTTGTTTCATTTATAATATGTATAATTTGGTGAAAGGTGCGACCACCAGCCGCAGACCTCTCCATTACTTTCATTAATACCGATATTTCGGTACATTTCTATATTCAAAATTGTATTTGTGGCAGGATATACCAATCTCTCTGCCCGCTAGAGTTGAGGATGTTTTGGACCAAACTAATTAAACATATGTATACGTCGAATGTGCTCAACACATACATATCAATTGATGAAGAAGTAGAGCCACTGAGCGATGACTGTGGATTGCATAACTCAACTTTCTTTTGTCATTTTAAGACAATCGCTCCAATACTGACTATACACAGCCAAGCAGTTCACCGAGAAGAATGTTTTCACAGCGCCCAGCCTTCCCTCGGCACGAATTACGCTCTTCGTGTTTATTCTCTAGCGGGAAGGATTGCAAAACTACGCCATGAAAACTCACGTCGTTGTCCAGCTTGTAACGGGGTTACACGTATCCTGATATGAAGGAGTGGGTCACACAAGATGGCTTGACCACACAATAGCGTGGCTACACCTTAACAAGAAGTCACTAGGTCGCGGGACTGCGAGTAGTTATGCGTTTAAACTAGAATTCACTATCCAATTAAGAAAACCTAAGGTTTAAGATATTTGCGGCTCTGCCGCAATTAAAAACAAAATATTACAGTTTTCATTTTGAGCGGATGCGTTTATTTGCCTTGGGTAAAGGCTGTAGTTACTCTTGGAGTAAGCAGATTGCGATCCGCTAGACTCTTAATGATTCTAGTGTAGAACGTAAGGTCGGTGACCTTATCTAAGCTTCTTTAAGCAAAAGAGCTACGGCAGCCCCAATGCACAGCTTGTCACCATTGGGCTGGGCCTGTTTATGCTCTCCCTACTTCTCAAATTAAAGCATTAGAGTCACGCCAACTCCTGCTAAAATTGTCATGCTGCGATTAAACTATTGGAAATTGTTCGCCGTTAAGTCCTTACAGGCGTATGCGTATGCAAACCTCCTTTAAATCGCACCGAGAGCAAATTGAGCACCGGAAAGCTGCGTCATAAGTGCTTTCTCATCCTACAGGACATCTCTTACCAGCGCAACCAGTTATACTTCAATCAGCAATTTAAGAAACCTGTTCCTTGGATTAAATGATAAAAGCGCCGTCGTACTCGTCTGGTGGCTTTGCAAGCCAGCTTCAGTGAAGCGGATGTCCAACAAATGTGTGAATCAATGCTTGACACTGCAAATTACACTGCACGACGCGGACTTCAAGGTGAGAATATATCACCCCAAGCTATTGCTATTTACAGCCCTGCTCGTCTTTATTAAACAGCTGTAAGAACTCCCGAGTCAGTGATATACTCACCACATCTTCCCACACTAGTTGGAAGCGCGTATTGGTGAACAAACCTGTTTTTTTGAAAGGTAGATAAATACCGAGGGGAATCAGGTTGTAAGCGGCCACAAAACAGGGCAATCTTGCTTAAGAGTGATTCAAACTTGTATGTATCTGATGGAGCGGAGGATGACAAACTCCCACGAACATATCTGGTATAGGCCCGACCCACGATACGCGCCACAAAAATCATACTCATTGAGTGTCAAGCAGTCTCGGTGGAGTTAATTTTTTCTTTAGCTGGCTCTCGTGGCTTCTTTCGGCTGTGATGGCACGTCGCTTCCATCTGAGAGTTGAGGCGTGCATCCGAGGCTAAAATGACTTAGATCGCTAATTCGCTCTTCGAGCTTCGCCATCGCACTGCGTGGATTTAGGCACACTCACCGACTCAACATCACGATGCCTCTAAAAAGTAGAAAAACTATCAACTGTCAAAGATCGTAGTGATGCTTCTGCTTGTGCAACAGAGCCCTCTTCATCTGACGAGCGATACTGCGGTTTGGCATCATTGGCCCACGTAAAACTCGCAATATTTTTTGCATTTATTCTGTGATGTGAAGAGTAAAGCTTCATCCCTTTTCTGTTACCGTAAGATCTTACGTAATCGCAATCACCGCGGTCAAAACACGTGAAGATATGTTGATTACTTTTAGTACCTCATTATACCCCACTATGCCTGCTTCTGACCCAGGCCTTTTGTTTCTGTTTCTATCGGCTCGTAGCCATAGCATTGCGCATCTTGCACATTACAATATTTGATATTTAGATAGAATCAGTGCTCTTGCTATAAACTGTAACCGGGTTGTGATTAGCGAGTCAAATTTGATCGACAGCCCCTCAGAGAA